TTGGATGGACGGAATGGAGAAATGTCAACATTTTCGAGTGTTTTCCCATAATTCCAATTCTAAGAAAGTAAAAAAGCTGAAAATTACTGGAAAAAAAGGAGAAAGGTCTCGGACGAGGACTAGAGCGGTAAGTTCCCAAAGCGACACCCCCATCAAACCAAGGTTAATTTGGTGATTGCCGTCAATACGGCCACCCAGCATGGTTTTTGTTAATTGAATTGGAGCACGAGTAAGAATAGTGATTGGGCAGCCGTGGGGGGTCCACCAAACAGCAATGAGGAACTGAAAGCATCCAATCAAATGCTCATCAACGTAAACATATCACATCCTGAAGCAGCGCACTCTCCAAGCAACAGTTGCTTCTAGGAACAATGAAATAAAAGATACACTAAAAGACAGCACGGTTATCCATGCTTCAAATCTGAATAGCATTCGTCTAGTGGAAAACTTATTTGCGGAGGGCATCTGTTATTTTTGTAAGGCTTGAAAGAACAGAAAGTATAAATTTCACTTCAGTAGCAAATCAAAACTGCTAAAAAGCGCTTTCCTTTTTCACAAAAGGACAGTAACGCAAAAAAGTAGCTTTCTGGAAAATGCGGCAGTCCCAAATCACCGCTTTCCTGGCAAAATCGGTGGTATGGATCAAAAGAAAACTCTCCACAATTGTAAAAGAAAAATAGTTTTCCCAATGTTATTTTAAAATACGGAATGGGAATTTTCAGCTAACACATTCGAATTAATTTCTTGTATTTTTCCATTCAATGCATGAAAGAACGGTCACGAAAAAGCATGCATTCAGCTAGAAAGCAGATGAGAGGGCTCTAGGAGCTGTATTTTTCCAGAAGAATGAGGCTTGCAAAAAATGTTTAATTTGATAGATGAATGAAATCAAAGCGCGCGGTCAAAAAAGTAAAAATAAATCGAATAAATGTAGTCAGCCTGTGGCCATAAGAAACTGACTAATGGAACAAATCATGTATTTTCTAGTATTACCAGCAGACCACATGAGCTGTTTTTGAATAGTGAAAAAACCTCGTAACTACTGGATCGA